TACCAGGGTGCAAGATCCCACTCGCAATTCGGACATATAAATGTAATGTCAATTGCGATCATGAGTGGTGAACGAGTCCAGAGTGACGGCCCGCTGGTGCGGACTTCCAACCGTGGTTGCAGATGAGGCCGACAGCCTATCTACGCTCCACACGGATGAGGCCACGAGTGGCAGGTTGGTGGAGGACGCCGTTGGGCATGCACGGGGTAGCTCCTATGCGTTGTCAACTTTTCCTGGACTTTAGTAGACCGAGAGGTCACCTTTAAACCAATAGGTCATTGTACATTAGATTGGCATTGAATTTTCCAGCGGGTATGCTAAAGGAAGAGTTTAATTGAAGGTTGTTAGCAGGAACATTGTCCATGTAACAACCACTCTTTTCCTCTTTAATGTAAAGGTGACACATATTGTGAACAACTGGGCATGTGGCAAAATGCACAACTAGTTGTTACATGCAGCAGGCCTGCCGGCCACGCATACATCTATTCCCATATCACCGTACTAGGATGGGGACGTCCCACCTCCCTGACGGGGATGAATGCTATGCACACCGGCCTGATGTGGGGGACGCCCTATTAATGGCCCCTTGGTGTGGGGGACGCCCTGCCCAAGGTATGGTAATATATCCCCAACCCGCTTATATGATATGGGAGCAGGTTGGGGTGGTCCCCCATAGGTCCCCGTAAGGACCTAGGTGCCCGGCGAGGCGGGTCCGTGGCTCAAAGAGGGTAGGAGCCCCACACCAACAATCCTCACGTACCAAGGGTTGAAAGTATGTTTTTTGTGTGTGTGTGTGTGTGTGTAAGGGGGTCGTTGGTGGGATGGTACATACAACGCCAAGGGTGGGAAGACTACTGCGCAAGGAAAAAGAAGCATAGAAGGAGCATAGAAGCATGCATCAGGATATCGAGGTGTTCAATTGGGTGCAGGAAGCTAGCGTCGATGTCCAAGACATCATCGAAGACCACATCAAAGTCCAAGACATCACCTGACGTACCATGACAAATTTTGTTATAGTTGCTGCGAGTGAATAGTGCATTTGGCAAAAGATTACTAGCCATTCATTACCACAACGGGCGATCATCTTAAAACTATGGGTGTTGGCAGCTGTTCATGTATGCTCTAGTGCGTGGCGGGTTGCGCCTCCAATCTAGCAAGGAGTATCGGCTGTGGGTTGGCCGGGAAAAAGCAACGGGGGATTGCCATGGGGCCAAGGGTGTGTTAATAATAGTAGTGTAGCATTTGCAAAGAGTACCGGCCATGGGTTGGCCGGGAAAAAGCAATGGGGGATTGCCGTGGGGCCCAAGGTGTGTTAATAACAATAGTCTAGCGTTTGCAAGGGATGGCCGGGAAAGAACAGCGGGTTGTGTCCCCTGTCTGGCAAGGAGTACCGGCCGAGGCAGCATTTATGTATATTTATTTATTCATTCATATCTATTTATGATGGCGTGGACTGCAAATAGGTAGATATGCGTTGATTAAACATATTGAAATATTGGAACTCGTTATGTCCATGCTGTGGCCCGTATCTGGAGGCAAAGATTGCTGGACACAGAGAAAAATCCGCTTGGAAAAAATTGCCTCCAACAGAAACCGCCGCTGACCAACGGAACACTATGAGAATCTCAAAGTCCCTGATGGATGGCAACGGAACACCAGGAAACGCAGTGGAAAAAAAGGGCTTTTACACAAATCGTTGGTTGCAAACACCCCCTTGACGGACAGCTCTAGAGCCAAAAAATTGAAAACTGGCGTGGCATGAATGGCTACAGAAACCCAGCCCCGGTAAAGTTAGGGAAAATCGATGGATGGATTGTTTGTGTTCAAAAGTTACAGAAGTAAAATAACAGAAAAAAAGGTTGAGCGGCCAAGTTTGATTATCAAATATTTTGAAACCGTTTGAGGCGCATGTGGGCAGAGAGCCTAAGTACTTCGCCAAGACGGTCAAGTGGGCAGTGGAGATCTACAATAATACGCCCCTCTCCTTGCCAAAAGAGAGCAAGAAAACTCCCATTTGTTTCGTATTCGGGTCACCGAATTAATTGTGGAACAGTTCACGGGCCGTGTGGAAGCGACTACACGAATACGCGCGGCAACAACGCGAGAAGGCAAACCACAAAACGAGGGGAAGGCGCATCCAACGGATGTTCAAGACAGGAGACCGGGTGTGGTTGTGGAACACAAAGGTCGAAACGTTAAAGGACAAGCTTAAACCATGGTGGAAGGGTCCAGGTTAGTTGATTCGCCCTATAACAAATGCAATTTGGAAGTACGGGGTCAAGATGGGAGAGTGTGGGTTAGACACACTAATATGTTGCAGCCGTATTGAGATGCATCTTGAAAAGGGATGAGATTTTTGAGGGGGGGTGTTTGGCGCAAGGAAGTGTGTGAGGGCGAGGGAGTGGTTAATATATAATGTGTGATATATGGTGTTTTTATAGTAGAAAGTAAATGTGGTGACTATGGTGTTATGGTGAATGCACATGGAGACAATGGAGATGGGAGATGGACATTATTGCAGTGACTGTTATTTAGCTGGTACGATCATCCTGTAATGCATCTGGTTGCGGTTTTGCTTCCCGTGCCTAGGAATGACCGTGTGCGGGCGTGCGCGAGAGAACCCGGTCAACCTGATAATGATGATGGTGGTGATGATGAACGATGAACGATGAGAAAATGGCATGGCAATTTGAGACAACAACATAGTCGATTGGTTAACGTTGCCTAGTAGCATTGAGTCAGCACTATACCAACATGAGTCAACAATGCTAGTAGCTGGTCAACTATAGTCAACGGTGCTTGCCAGTTCACAGGGTACTTTGTCAATATTGAGTTAAGCCAACAATATTGTGGACCAGTCAACTCTCGTCAATAATGTTGAGTCAACAATGTCAGCTCATGGTCCACGTTGGTGAACGGCTTTTGCCAACATCGATAGCAGATGGGGTTCTTTGGTCAAGGTTGAGTCTCAAAAATCATCATCACAACATTTCCGAGATGTCTTCAACATTGGGGCGCGAAGTGCTCCCCACCCACACGTCCAAAAACAGAAAAGATGCGGGGGGGAGGGGAGGGGATTAGTCGCTGGTGAAGACCCTTTCTTGTTCCAACGTCCTAAACCCTAACTACTGACCCACGTTGGCCTTGTCAACGGAAGAAGAAGGGACCCCCACGAAAAAAAGACAGAAGGACCTACATATTCTCGGAGGGGAATTATCCCGCGACGACGGGGGGCAAGTCCGAGGTCGTTCGAGGGAATCACTCATCAAAATCATCATTACGGCATTTCCGGGATGCCTCCGGCATTGACGCGCGAAATCCCCTCCCCAAAACCTCCGAGCTCCCCAACTCCAAAAACGCACGTCCCACTTTCCCGCAGCCCCGAAAATTCGCCGCCCGCGGCGGAGCCGGCCCCGCCGCCCCCGCCGCCGCCAGGCCGCCACCGGCGCCGCCGATTTCGCCCCAGTCGCCGCCCAGGTGAGCCCGGCGCCAAATGTGCCCGATTTGGGCCGCGCAATAAACGCGCCCAGCGCGCCTTTTTTGGCCGAACTTGGGCAAAATACGCGCCGGCGCCCTCCCCACCCCCGCCCGCTGGCCAGGGCGAGTGTCCCTTTCGGCGCGCCGGCCCTTGAGCGCGGGGCGCGGTGGCCGCGCATGGGGAGCATTGCGCCGGTTGTGTGGTCCGACCGGTGCGTCCAGCCCCAATTGCGCGTGAATTCCGACATCCCGTCGCCACACCGCGAGGGGCGCAATCCTGCCCCGCTGGCTTGCTGGCTTGCTGGGTTGCTGCCTCGTTTCCATCTGCGTGCGCTGAGGCCGTGGATTGGCATCGTCGACCATTTGGGCCCCGCCTCGGTGGCCGCCATGGAGCGCGCTTGGGTACGACGATTGCCGATGAGCCGCCAGCGTGGCGCTCCCGCGTCCCGCGCCAGCCCTCGCTCCCACCCCATTACCCCTTCTCCCCCTTGCGCCGCCGGCCGCGGTCGATGCACGCGCCCCGCCCTGGTTGGTTTCGTCGCTTGCGTCGTCGGTCCGTGGGCTCCCTTGCGTGGCCGCTGCGCTGTGTGTGCGCGGTCGGCACGGGCCTCCGCATCTCACCCGCCTGCCTCTCGCTCGCTGCAACTTTTTTTGCCGGGGATGCGGAAAGTGGCCGGGAAAGTTGAATGTGGTTGACAGGGGGCGGGGGGGATTCGGTCAGGAGCCCAAGGCCGGGTCAGCGCCAGTCGGTCAGCCGAGGAGCAGGCCCGACAGGTCGTCCCCCCGACCCGGTTGGGCCCCCGATCCCCGCCGGTGCGAAAAAGGAAACAGGAAGAGACAAAATAAGGCGGGGATCGGTCTCCGGTGGCGCGACGGAGACTGGTCGTTTCGGCGGTGGGGCGCCGCGGACGGATTGGTCCTGCGCCGCTGCTCTTGTGTTTTTCTTCTGTCTTTGCTTTTGTCTTTGTCTTTAGTCTGTTCTTTTATCTTTTGTTTTGTTGTGATGCGTCGGCCGTTGGGCGATTTTCGGCAACCCGGTTGGGTGATTTGGCCGAGGGGTTGTTGGCGGGGGGGGGAAGGTTGTGCGGTGCGACGTGGAGCTGGCGTGGGTGGTTGTGGAGGGGGGGGTGATCGAACGCCGGCGTCGCGTGGCGTTCTTGTTGCTGGGTTGCTGGTTTGAGGACCAATGGTCGTCTCATTGCATCCCTTTGTGCAATTGCAGGAGCGTTATTTGCCCAGAGAGGCCCGAAAGGCCAGACCTGCGCGATCTGGCAGTGGATTGTGGGGGCCAAGTTGCCCAGTGCAAAGAGACCATGAAAATTGGATGCTGAGTGCAAAGGACGCGAGGTGAAGAGGGCCGAAGGGTGAAGAACTTTACCAGTTCTCCTGCATACTTAGCACAGGGCAACCTGAAAGTAGGTGCAGGCGCTGGCCACTCAGTGACTCATTGAGATATCATTTGCTGGCAAAGGAAAGAAGTTAACGGAGTGGGTGGAGGCTTGGCTGAAGGCCTTGACAGCGAAATGGGCGGCGAGCAGGAGGCAGCCTGCTCGATGATGGCCATGGCTGGGGTCCCTGGCACCACGCCGCCTCAGAACAAGGGTACCTTCAAAGATGTACTGGACCGGTTGGGCGTGAACAATATACTTGGCGTAAGGGGCAGTGACGATGTTGCCTGCAGAGGCCCTGCCGACAAGACCTTGGTCAAGTGTGAGGTGCCTCCAGAGTCTCAGATGTTGCGGATGGAGTGCACGCCAGAGGGAACTGGTGAAGATGTGGATGCAATGAAGGAGAATCGAGCTGGCTCGATCGTTGACCGTTTTTTGATGCGAGATGTGGCGAGTTTCCATGCACAGCTGATGCAGAATGCTGGCTCCCAGTGCTACTGGCAGCCCATGCCTGTGTCTCATTCGGGTTCGGAGGGGCAGCCCTCTGCAGAAAGGGTGGATTCCCTGAGTCAATGGCTGCCTGTGTCCCCTTCGACAACAGACACACCGACATCTGCGTTGGGTGGAGGGTTCCAGTTCCATTTCCCTGGTGAGCCAATGTGGCTCACAGACATTGGGGGCAACCACATTCCCCCAGCGTATGTGCTTGGTGATGTTTCCAGATCGTCTGGCAGCATGGATCACCAGGTCGTGTTATCGTCCCCGATTTCGAGCCAGTGCATTGCCAGGGCCAATTCTGGGTGGTCTCAACAGCACATTCCCCACAAGGGACTGGACTGTTGGCCAAAGCCGGAGGAGGACTCGGGCCCAAAAGATCCCAGGCTGGCAGCGATGGGTCGCGCGAAGGAGGAGCCAGCAGCGCCGCCTGCAGCAGTCCTCCTTGAGGCCGACCTTGCCCCCAGCAGGGTTCCATGGCCATTTTCCAGCGACCCTCGAGCCTCAAACAAGGACCCTTGGTTGCCCGTCAGCGTGGACGGCGACCTATTTTCCAAAATGACCATGGTGGGCCCCATGGGCTGGTCGTCTTTGACAGGGGCTACGCTGATGTCGGCAGCAGAGGTGGAGGCCCAGGAGGCTGCCCTGAGGTTGCTGATGCAGCAGTCAAGTGACTCTAGGCGAGGCCGTGGACGTGGACGTGGGCGTGGCCGCGGACGTGGCCGCGGTCGTGGCCGGGGCAGGGGCCGGGGTGAAGTTGGGGTGGGGTCGAAGAGGTCAGCCAGGCAGGGTGCGGGCGCGCGGCTCGCATCACTTGTGACTCAGGAGGCCAAGAGTCTGCAGGTCAGTCAGGCAGTTGATCAGAGCCACAATGCCAGTGGTTAGACTTGGGCTGTGTTATGTGCCCGCAGTGGGTGTGCTTTATTGGCTGCGGGCGAACGATGGATGCGGGCTGCTGTCAGCCGGGAGATTCTAGAAGCACTGCGACTTTCTGATTGTGTACAAAGACCTTTGGCCCCCTGGATTGCGCTCCTATGCACTGTAAGATTTGAAACTTTGCAGTTACAGACATGTGCCACAAGCTGTTTGACTCTAGTTTTCTGCACATCCCAAAGTGTATGGGGCCACTGCATTGCCATTTTCTGGTTCAGAGGTGATGTCCCATTGTGAAAACACAGAAATTAGCTTTTGATACACTCTATTGGCAGTGTTGTTGGCCACTGTTTTCGCTCTGAAGCTCATGAATGTAACACAATGGTGACCGTGGCCTCTACTGACCTTCCAACCTTCCAAGCATTCACTCTGCAATTTGGTGAGGTTGGCTATGTAGTGATCAACGTGAGGTGGGCACACTCTCAGTGGCCAGTCAGATAGCCTATGGTGAACTGAATAACGGCGTTCTGGGAGAGACACTGGGAGCTGAATAGCTGTGTTGCAGTGTGTGTGCCGATCGGTAGTTCCTTATGGATCAAACAACCTCAGTTTTCACTGTGGAGGCATTTGCTACCGTACACAGCTTCATCCACCCACCAAACCACAATAGAGATAAACCAACATGCTGGTTGGTTACAAAACCCATGCACTGATGTCAAGATGGCTTTCAAATCAGTGATAATGACAGTCAGCGGTACAGGAACTGATCTTGGGGTCATCAGACGCTGCCTTGCCGGCTCACATCTGATTTGGGATACGCTCTGATGAAAGCAACTGTGTCTGCTATTCATCAGCCTCTTGCCTTGCTGACAAAACAGGAGGAGGAAAACCTGACACACATTGCAAGCCTGAAGATGATTTTGTTTGGATCTTGATGGTACTGTCCTCGGACATCTGGCCCTGTCCTGTCCCGTCCCGTCCTTATCCTGTCGTGTTGCACATTCATCGGCTGAGCCTTAGACAGTGGGGCACAATGTGGACAGGTGATGGAACGTGAGGCCGCAGAGGCCAGGAAGGATGCAGAACGGGCTGCCATGCTCGAAAGAGCAATGGCAAAGATGGCAAGGCAAGCTGCTGCTGCGGCTGGTGACTTGCCAGCTTTGGTGGCCTGCACGAAGAAGAGAGGCCGGCCACCAAAGTGGTTGGCAGAGATAATGCAGGCACTCAAGAAGGGGGGAGCAACTCCCGCTCTGCAGGTTGGTATTTGCTTGTCCTCGTTTGGCCACCTTGCGTACCTTCACACTGGCAATACTTTTGACAGAATGATCCTGTTTCGCTGCAGATCCAAAATGCGATGTTGAGACAATGCCACTTTCTAGCAGTCACACAGACTTTGCCTAAAGCCGCATTGAAATCCAGTTTCCCCTTGTTCGGAACATAGCGCCTCACATATCATAGTGAAAATCGGTGCATGGGCTTTGCATTGTTGTGCGAAATAACATGGAATCACAGAAATTTCCTTAGCAAGGCACAAGTGCCCAGGCAGATGGGAGTGCCTTCGTGTTGAATTGATTTCAAAAGGGAATAGTGGACAGAACTGCTGCTGCTAGGTTTTCTGCACTGTCGCAATAACCTTGTTGCTGGACTGTACTGGTAGTGCATTTGCATTAAGGGGCTTTCACATCCTTGAGATTGCTGGGTATAGAGTGGGGAGCACTTTTCAAGTCTTTGACAGGCCAATGGTGCTGCAACACAGAGCTCCAGCCAAGAAGACCACACCACAGCCGAGCCAGCTTGTCCATGGACCATCCCCAGGAGTGTGCGAAAACCAAAGAGCCACCAGCCGATGCCAGATTCGAAGTCAGAGGCTGGATCAGACTCTGATGAGAATATGGAGTTGCTGTATGGTTGTCCTTCCTGCGATTTCAACTGGGTGAGCGGGTGATTGGACTTTAGGGTAAAATCACTCTCTTATGAGGATTTGCTGGCATAATCAGGTTGGAAGGCAGTATTCAGTTCCATTGCTTTGATTCAGTGGCGAAGCGCTAGAAATGCCTATGAAGAAATGCTGTCGAGGCTGTGACAGGTGATCCATCACTAACCTGAAAACTAGCAAATGGGTTTTCAGCAAACTGATATTTTTTTTGTGGGTTGCAGACTGGGTGCCAAAAATGCCTTGATATGAAGCCTCTGGCGAGCCGTCCTGAATCAAGATACAATCCCAAACAGGCACGAATTGTGGTAAGTGGCATCATCATGTCTGGAGGGAGTGCTGCCCAACATATTCCTGACCGAAAATCTTGACTTCTGCTGCATCTTCTAGCACACTGGACCCACAACGGCTGCACAAACTGCGGTTCTGTACATTCTCTCTTCTGACACATGTGAGTCTCTGTTGTACCTATGTCATACATTTGTTCACTTCCAAAGATTCCACACTGCAGCGATTTTGCACCATGGTGCCAATGGCTTCAGTTCCTCGAATTGTTTCATATGTTATGACCATCTGTGTCATTGCTATGCACAGCTGTGTGCCTTGCAAGTTAGACATGACCAGTTCGATGCTGTCGTTGTTATGCAGTTGTCCCTGTGCATTAGGAGACCTCTATGTCCGTTGCAATGGGGCACAGAGTCTGGACATCTTTGCTCAGGAACGGTTGCCGATTGTTAACCTGTTTTCTTCTTCTGTGAGAATAATCATGGCCCACCTGTGCTGCCTCCCCTGTTAATTGCAGGACGTGCCAAGTGCGCCAGTTTACCATCCAACAGAAGAGGAGTTCAGTGATCCGATGAAGTACATTTCCACAATCCGCCCGGAGGCTGAAAAGTGAGTCAACTCCAGGCTGGGCTGTTTCCTGTCCTGCTGTTCAAAAACCCAATGACAGGCAATAGAGGAGGACAGTGCACAAATGGCTATTGGTTGTGTTGGCCAAGTACTGATGTTCCAACAGATATGACTGCAACGATGTGGTGCGATACTATTCCTCATGGACAGTCGATGTGACTGTGAGATGTACAATTGCAGTGTCCCATAAGTTTCTCAAAACGATGTGGTGATCTGCATGCCATACACCCAGATTGCATCCATACGGGTATGCATGAAGCAGTGGCAGCAATGCACAAGATTATCCACACCCTCAAGTGTTCACATGCAGTGTTTGTGGACGTTCACGTGTGCACGCACTGTAGTCACATTCACACGTGGAGCTTATAGTAGTTGCTTGTCGCTGGGGCATTGCTTTGCTGCCCTTGCACAGCTTGGACTGATATCACATCCCTTGTTTGCAGGCATGGCATATGCATGATTGTTCCCCCTCAACCGTGGGACCCTCCTTTCAACTTGAAGGACGACCTGGACGGGAAACAGCAGGACTTCAAGTTCTGCCCAAAGGTCCAGGTGAGCGGGATGTTGCAGGTTTTCACTTGTTGCTTTATTGAACTGAGAATCAGCGTCCCTTGCACTTAAGTGGGCAGGCATGCAATGTCAGCAGCTGCTCCCATCCATGAACATCCATGGGATTGAAATCTCCCTCGATTCAATGAAATGCTCCTGTCCTGTGTACTACTTTCGGCCATTTGTGAATCTTCTTCTATAATGGGACATAAATCACAGCTTGTGCCCCATGCCGTCCGTAGTCGACGAACAGCCTGTGCGTGCGGCCGCCGGACCTCTGCAGCCCGTCGTCCAGCAGGTCGGGCAGCGAAGACGACGACGACGGGGGGGACTACTTCGGCTTCGCCCAGCTCGACGAGGCGCACACGCTGAAGTCCTTCCTGTCGTACGCAACGTGGGCCAAGAAGTCTCACTTTTCCGCCGGCGGCGCGACGAATCGAGGAGACGAACCGGCCGAACAAGCGGCGAACCGGGCAGACAAGTCGACGGTGCAGACGGCGGCAGGGGCAGGCGACCCGTCGGCACAAGTGACGAACGGAGCAAGCGAACCAACCATACGAACCGTACTGGCGACGGAAGGGGCGCACGAACCGTCGGTAGGAGCGACGGACGGAGCGAACGAACCGACTGTGCTGGCGACAGAAGGGGCAGACGAACCTGCGGCAGGAGCGACGAATGGGGCAGACGAACCGGCAGGGCAGGCGACGGAAGGGGCAGGCGCGGCGGTGGTGGAGGCTGGAAAGGGGACATGGGAGCCCTCTGTGCAGGACATCGAGGGGGAATTCTGGAGGATCGTCGAGGCGGCGGGGAAAGGGGAGGAGGTGGAGGCACTTTACGGATCTGACTTGGACTCTGGATCGCTGGGCAGTGGTTTTCCCAGGGCCCCCGGGCCCGGTGAGTCGACAGAAGACTGCGACACGGATGCCGTGATGTCGTACAGGTGGGTGCCATGTTGTAACATTGTTCCTGAATGCACACTGTGGGCTTCTGCATGTCGATGCTGTGGGTGGGGATGCCTCAGTGTATTTTCTGTCCAATCGACGACTTCACTGTGTTTGCGTGTTGCCTCGGTTGGATGAATAATGCATTGTTAACATTGTTGGACATGCTTTGCTCAGCATTACTGTGTTCGAGAAGGGGCACTGATTCGTCATGCCCTGAAAGAGCATGTACACCTCGGCTTGCATATGTACAAGGGGCTCCTCGTTCGCAGACCCCATCACCATGACCAAAGCCAAAGCACATTTTTTCTTTCTGCTTTTGGCACTGTTGATGTCGTGTGTGACAAGGAACCTGACGTTGTATGGACTGTAATGATCTCATTGATATAACAGTGTGCCTATGGATAATGACATAAGGATGCTGCAGTGAGTTTTGGGAAACGATTCATATGTATGCCCCAGGATTAGTTTGCATGATTAAAGGGTTATTGCAGATTGATGGGATAGATCAATTGTCCTCATGTCCATTCTAGTTCGGCAACATAGCAGTAAATAATGGCAGTAAATAATGCAGTGAGTATAATGCAGAGAACATAGCAGTGAATAATGTGTGAATCAATGAGAACTGATCTTGTCTTTATAGACAACTTCCGCCTGGTGGGGGTTACAATCATTTGTGAATTTAGTGTATTTGTGATTTTGGTGTATTTTGATGGTCAAATGGTGAGAACTGATTATTCTGCTGTCGTAGCTCATCGTATTCTGACAGCAGATGTGAGCTACTGAGTCACACTGCTCTGACAAAGGAAACAAAAACACGGACTCCGTGGACCACAATGTCCACAGCTGATCAACCATGCATTATCCTCTCTGCAACAGCAACATTAACATCTGGCTCTGGAAATTAGTGCTGAATTGTGGTGGGCCCATCATTGTTGCCCCAACAGTTGATGCAGTGCAGGAACTTCAGTAAGTCAGAACGCCACTCAGGAATGTAAACTGAAGCTCCCATGGAGTAATCTTGAGCTGCATCTCATCAGTGGCATGTCAAAGGCATGCAAATGGCATGAATGTACCACATTCTGCAGGGCAATGAAACAATGCTAATCAGGACATGCACACTGTCCACATCTACTTTGTAGCCCTGCATCGTCAAGACAATTACGAAAATGGCAACAGGTATGACAGGACAACGCAGACCACACATCTGTCCATCATTTGCTTCTTCTTGTAGCTGGAGAGCGTGGCTGCAGCCAAGAAAGAAAACGACCATTTGCCGTCACTGCTGCAGCTCATCACCTTGTGGTGACACCACCATGACCGGATTCTCATCTTATTTGGCATGAAGTGTGGAGGGTTGCAATAAAACACATACCCAGTGCAGGTGCACACTTCTGAAATTAAGCGATGTAGTATCTGGGTTAGATTATAGCACGATTGAGGCCAGGGCAGGCCATACAGTATATGTTGCAGCTTCCGTGTCTCCTCATACCATGCAAAAATGATAGGCCACAGTTTCTGGCCCAGTCTCCTGGGCATTCACCAGTGCTGTGGATGCACCCTGTGCTGCCATTTGATCGAAAGTCCAAGATGTTCTGGATGGAAAGGGCTTGACGAACTGAGTGCGCATTTTTTAAGTCTTCCCAGCATTGTAGATCCGCACGTGGCTTGTGAATGGCTTGCATGTGCTTTTTGTCCAGCGCTTTTGTTGGGGAGTTTTCCTTACTGTGGCAGTGTCATTTATCTTGCAGGCATCATCCCTGGAACATTAACCGTTGGCCCCAGTGCCGCGAGTCAGTGCTGAAGCATGTGGTGGGCGATGAGCCCATCACAGGTGTCATGGTGCCCTGGCTGTATGTGGGCTCCTGCCTTTCGGCGTTCTGTTGGCACATTGAGGACCATGCGCTGTACAGCGTAAACTACATGCACACAGGTGCAACCAAAGTCTGGTATGGCGTGCCAGGGCATGCAGTGGAGCAATTCGAGGCTGCGATGCGGGATGCACTTCCACACTTGTTTGAGGTGGACACGAACCTGTTGCACAGGCTCGTGACACACCTATCACCAGCAGAGCTGCAGGCGCGGGGTGTGCCTGTAGTCAGGTGAGGGCGCATGGTACAACCATTGGTCATCCGATGTTTTGGGTTATGATGAAATGATGCACACAAGGCAGGACATTCAAAGATTGTTTCAAAGATTGTGAAAGCATGGAAGGAAACATATGTCACAATTGACATCCCCATCTTGATCGTCGCTATATGTTGTAGAGGAGGTGCCTATTGCATTTGAGTTGGAGTGGCTCAAATGAACCCTTGTATGTCTGCACCCTAGACTGCTACATGAATGCATTGCTGCAGCTGACTGAAGGTAGTGCACTTTTGCATTGAGGGTTATCCAAGTGCTGTTTTAACCAGACAAATAAACAAAACAAGGATGGAACATTGCCCCCTAGAGGTGACATGAGTACCCTTCAAGTTCTGCATTCATATTGCATTGATTATTTGGGGGGAATATCCTTGCTTGCTTTGCTGCTTTTATTGCAAGGCTGTCTTTGAGGTCGTCCACTTGCATTGTGTCAATAGCGCTCCTAAATTGTATGCATGCATCAAATGTGCCAACACCTACTTGGGATGAATTCTATCGCGGGTGATGTTGTAGTGACCGTAGTGTTTTCCCATCCGCTAACTGAATGCCCACAATGTGATGATGTGTCTCGGGTGCATTGCTGTCCAGGGTGGAGCAGAATCCTGGCAATTTTGTCCTCACCTTCCCAAATGCCTACCATGGTGGTTTCAACTGTGGCTTCAACGTTGCAGAGGCGGTCAATTTCGCAGCCCCCGACTGGCTGCCCCATGGGTCTGACATTATTCTCAAGTACAGGCAGCAGAACCACAAGACCACGTTCTCGCATGACGCGCTGCTGCTGTCCCTTGTCGCTGCAGCAACTACCCAGGAGCACGATGCGGATGTCCTAGAGAGCAACTGTTCCCATGAGCCACATTGCAATAAAAATGCGACTTGTGGTGGGGTCAGTGGCAGTGGTGAGGCTGTGAAGGGGGACAGTGGTGCTGGGCTGGGTGCAGTGCAAAAGCCGAGCTTGGGTTCATTCTTGGATGAACAATTGGTTGCTGATCCACGGAGGCAAGGTGGAGCTGCGGATTCTATTCACACCTTTGGGGTTCACAACAATCGCTGCGCTGAGCCTGATGGACCATCCTCGAGGCCCCTAGCAAATGGTTGTGCTTTTGCTCAAGGTGTCAGTGTGGGATGCAAGAAACCTGCTACCCAAGATGTGTGTCCCCTAACGATCAAGTATGGCATTGGGGAACTGGTTGTCAGGATTGCAGAGGAAACCCGTCGTCGTAACGTGGCCAAGGATGTGGGGATTGACAAGGTAAGCAAGCATGCCTAAGCTCCTTGACCCAAGACAATTTGGGTAGCACAATATGGTGGCGAGGTGGAGTGTGTTGTTGTTTGCAGTGTGGGAGCTGCCATATTTGCCACAAGTACTTGGGATCGTTGCAGCAGGGATGCCTAGATGGATATGAGTGTGCATATGCATATTGTAGTGATGGAATACCCAAAGGCTGTTGCCTCAAATGGAAAACCTGCAAATACCTTGAAAGACTGTACAGCTGCTGTATTGGTAGCAACAGCTTTTGCCCTTCTGTGACTAAGGTGTTGAGGCAGCATCTGATGATATCCCATTTCTACAGGAAAGGAGGATGTCAGGGGAGCTATATGAGAAAGACGACACTGGTATCCACATGAACACCATGGACGTTGATTGTGGGCTTTGCAAGGGCGACCTGTATTTGTCTTCTGTTGTTTCTCCTGTTGCCCCTGGAGTTGCTGTGTGCCCGGACCATGCAAGTCTCCTCCCTGGGCATCGTGTTCTATTGTATAGGTGAGATCAAGATGTGAATCCTGTTGGGGAACAGGGGCTGGGGTGAGAAGCGGGCTCCTCGTTCCCTTCACTCCAGTTGTGGTTGTTGATGTGCCAAACGATGAACTATGCGAAGGGCAACTTCAACTGCTTTGTTGTTCCTAAAACTGTGGAAATGTCAAAATTACTTGCAAGCTTTTGGGGTTGCTTTCTTTTTCTCTTGCAGTTTGATGACATCGCATTGTCAACTGTCATTGGTCAACTGGCATGGTTGGTGTACTGTTGTTGGTTTGTGTATTGTTTTCGGCGTGCAAGACTAGTCAGATGCAACCGTTGCAAGATTTGCCACAGGACGGCAAGCAATGCCCCGAAAGCCTATGCTTAGAAGTGCCTTTGTATTGCTATCATGCCGATGTATTAGCATTGCTTGTGCAATGTCATTCGTGTGTAGCAATTTCTCCAGCATGCAGTCTATTGCGGGTGACTCCATTGTGATTCCGTCATTGCTGATAAAAGTGCTGGTGGTGGTGACAGTCAGATTAGTTGGTCTAATGAGTTAATACTTGCAAGAAGACGACCAGAAATGCTTTGATTTTCAATCTGGGTTTGACATCCACAGATGGAGGAAAAGAAAATTAGCATATGGGCTCTGCGCAGCCAATGCAATAGGTGCAACGCCCAAGTCGTCTTACTGTCTGGGTTCATTTGTTGGCATGGCCAACAACCCCAGATATTTTTAGATTTCCATTAACGATGGAGTCCAAGAGTACGGTTCCAAGGTGTCATCACCAAAGTATTTGTTTTGATTTGTCATCAATGTAAGGTTTGACAACAACAAAAGGGAGGGGGAAGGGTGTGTGAACTTGATTCAACATGATATTGGGCATTGCAAAAGCCATGTAGTGTCACCAATGCAATGCAACATGCAGACTGGTGGCACAAGCAATACTTCCTGTGTCCCAAATTAAATGACCCAACTGTTTTCAGCACTGTGTTTTCACAGTAAGGTTCCGTTTTCCTTGAGAATTTACTCACAACAAGGTGCATGAGTATAGAGTATGCTATCAAAGTTTCAGATGAATCTGCTAAGCAAAATGTAATTGGTGACAATTTTAATCCACATCACTCACCCCCCCACCCCCGATAATCCACAGCCTCGAAGAAACCGATCAGGCGACACACATGCTCAATCAGGCCTTTCAGAGGACACTTTGCTGCTCCCTAGGCCTTGAGGTTGGCCACACCGACCTTCAATCTGATCAGCGTGGCCAACTCTTCTTGAGCGGCAGCGCTTCGCCCTCTGGAAGGGGTGGCCCTCGCCATACCCAAAACGGCAGCTTCCCTCGGGAAGGGACGGCCCTTGCCATACCGAAAACACCAATTTCCCAGAGGTTGTGGATTACTCGGCTTTTTGGGCGTGAGCGACGCGGGTAAAACTGACACCAGTTACATTGCGCTTAGCGGATTCTTCTGAAATTTGTGCAAGTTTTTTAACTCCAATTGCACCACACAGGCACACCATCGATGAGTTGCAGTCCATGGTGGCCACTGCCCTCGCAGTGTTCCCAGACGCCGCATCCTTCATCGAGGCTGCCCAGGAGCGCGCCTCTGCCTCTCGGCCAACCTCCATCTGCAAGATGGGCCCCCTGTACCAACTTGACGAGCTCGAGCCCTTAGAAGCTGCCAAGCCGCCAAAGAGGGGTCCGCCAGGCCCCCTGGAGTCGCCAGACTCCAAGCGGGTGCGCAAGGTGCCAACCCTTGTTGAGAACACAGCCGGTGGCGTTGTGAGTGACAAGTGTGGCCATTTCCCTGTGCAGAATGGCGTGGCGATGGCTGTGCCCCGCCCACAGGTTGCCCTTGGCATGCTGGCAGATTTGAGCACCGCTCCGCCGGCTTTGGCAATGCCTCGGGTGCAGAAAGGGTGCACTCATGGGAGGGGAGAGGATTTCGGGGAGGGCAGCCAGAGAGCAACTTCTGAGGATGGGTCGGAGCCACAGCGCACGTAGGATTGCAAGGAAGAATGGGACCTATCAGCTTTTAAAAACTGGACGAGTCGGACGGAGGGCCATAGGGAACGTTCCCATTTGTGTGGCATTGTTAAGATACGGGTAGTTTGAGCCCAGCCATCAGAGGCACACGGTCCAGGGGGGCGGGAGGGGGGAATGGGTCTCCTAATTTTGAAACATGGGTCCCATGTCAGGGAACTTGGCAACAAGGCGGAAGTGGCTGGAGGAATTGCACGGGAGGCTTGCTTGACAGTTCCCAAATTATTTTTGAAAGCAAGTTGCATTTCAATGTATCATGTAAAATCATTGTTTGGCCAAACTGCGCGTGGTCCCTAAGCCATGCTCTGTTGGCACTCGTCTGCCAAAGTCCCTAGGACAAGCTGTGGTTGATGTTTGCAAGCAGCTGATGCCAGTGGCCTGAACATGGTTGCTGTAGTGCAGGCATGTTGTGAGTCAAGGTGCACGGCGCTAGAGTGCACTTTGCGGCACCATGGGCAACCGTTGACGAGAATTTGTTGGCAACCATGTTGCAAGTGCATGTAGTCAGGTGAAGGGGCATGGTACAGTAATCATTTTGGTGACGATGAAATAATTACGCATAAGTCAGGACATCCAAAAATGCGATTCAAATTTGTTATGTATGTGTGGCAAATGTGGGCTGTGCAGGTCTAGACAGGCGGCATTTGGCTCAGACTGGGTGGGAGTCACTGCTCGTTGTGTGCAGAATCAACATCCTAACGATTGCGCTGTCATGGAACGAAATATGTGTCGCAAATGAACACTCCAACTTGAGCTTCGTTAAGTGTTTAAATGTGTGTGAAGCTGATGTAGCAGTCTCCCAAGAGAAGAGCAAGGAAGCATGGAAGAAAATGTGTACATTTTATCAAAGTACAATGGCTTGTGTTCATGAGATGACAATACTGCCCTTGTACTCTGTATGAGCATCAGCAGACATTTTGTCCTCTTTTCTATCCTTTTCTGTCATAGAGGGGTGCCTGCGGCATCTAATTGCAGTGGCTTGTAGTGAATCCTTGTATGTGTGCACCCCTGATTGCTACCTAAATGCATTTGTTGCAAGTGACTGAAGGTAATGCACTCTTTTATCGATGGTTAACCAAGCGTTGATTTAAGCAGGCACATTAACAAAACAAGGATGGAACATGTGCCCCAGAGACACGATGATTGCCCTCCAAGCTGTTCATCCATATTGCATTGCTAATTTTGGTCGAGTCTTCTAGCTTACTTCATTGTTTTTGTTGTAAGGTAGCCTTTGAGGGGCTTCCCACAGAAGATGTGTGTCATCAACTTTCCAAAAGTGCATGCACGCATCCATTGTGCCAACAGTGACATAGGGCAAATTCTGTCGTGTGTGATGTTGCAATGACCACTAAGTGTGTGGGGCCCACTTTGCGAGCAGCTTTCAGCATATATATGAATTCCCACCAAGTGAGCATGTGTCTTGAGTGCATTGTTCTCCAGTGTGGAGCAGAATCCTGGCAATTTCACTCTTGCTTCGCAAACGCCTACATTGGTGGTTTGAATTGTGGCTTCACCATTGCAAAGGCCACCAACTTTGCAGCCCCTGACTGGCTGCCCCAATAGTCTGACATTGTTCTCAAGTATCTGACATTGTTCTCAAGTAGAGATGACAAAACCACAGAGCCCTGGTCTCGCACGACACCCTGCTGCTTTCCTTGCCGCTGCAGTGATTGCCCAGCAGCATGTTGCAAATGTCCAAAGGAGCAGCTGTTCCTGAAAGCCACAGAGCAATATGCATGCAACTTGCGGTGGTGTCATGGATCTGGCAAGGCTGTGAAGGGGAACGATGCAGTCGGGTTGGGTGCCTGCAGAATGGAAGCTTGGGGGCAATCTCGAATGGGCTGGTGGCATTCGATCCAAGGAAGCAACGTGAAGTTGTGAATTCCTGTCACAGCTGCAGGGTTCATGGGGTTGGCTCCGCTGTGCCTGATAGACTTCCTTGATCGTGAGATGGCACACAGCCTGAGTGGCAGTGTTCAAGGCACACAACTTGAGTATTCTTGAATCCCAAGGTGAAAGCTTGAGCAGAAGCACAACCATTTGCGAGGGCCCCCCTCCCTGTCAAGTATGGCATTGGAGAACGGGGTGTCAGGATTGCAGAGGAAACGCATCGTCATGAAGTGGCCTAAGTATGGGGGGAATGACAAGCAAAGCATGCCTGAACTACTTGCTGTAAGATAATTAGGTTGCATAATATGGTGACAAGGTAGGCTGTGATGTTGTGCAATATGGGAACTGCCATGTCTGCCACAAATGATTGTGATCGTTGCAGCGTGCATGCCTGGATAGATACGAGTTGGCCTAATATTGCAGTGACAAACACTCAAAGGTTGTGCCGCAATGGTATTGTCAACAGTACTGGCAGTTCTGCTGCTATCTTTCCTACATTTCTCCACATGTTGCTTGTCCTGCAAGAGCTCTTTCTTGCTTTGTTGCTTGTTTCAAAGTAGAATTATTGCCATCATTCACTTGGTTTGTGTGGAGTTCAATGTTGCCAACGTGGATTTGGCGAATATGCATACCAACGTGATTTGCACAATGAGCCCTTACCTTTGTAAAGCGACTGCTCTGTGTCACTGGCAATTGTCTTTCTTCTTGATAGCCTTTGTTGATATGCCATTGGCATTGTTGCATGGTATGTTTCAAGGGTGTGTTTCTATGGCATGCCGCTCTCAAGTTGAGAGTCTCAACCCTCTGTGGTTTCCACCACAAACTATGCAAGGTAGTCCAACACACTGTGGGAACACGCGATGTGAATGTTGAAACATCTGCCATCAATTTGCAACTATTTACAAGGCCAGACACGTGCACGCACAGTGCGTATGGTGCCCTCTGATTAACCCGACGAGCAGTAACGTCGCACGGTCAGGCCTGTGAGGCAACACAGGCGCCCATGTGTTGTGTGCCCGTGCCAAATAAAATAGTCCTTGAAGCCTTGTCCCCGCCCTTGTAACTCCACGTCCTGCGTGCAACACAATCAAATTGTAGGATGTACAGCAGGCTAGTGAATGGAGGAGCCAGGTAATGTGGCACGAGGTAGCACGCTAGGCTGGCAAGAGCCCGTGCACTCGGGCTTGCATGTGGCACAAGCGGGTGGTGAGAGCGGCCTCCGAGCATGCGTGTGTGGCGCCTCGTAGGCGCCCGCTCCCAACGCTCACACCTGCCTGGATTGGCAGCGGGCTCCGGTGAGAATGACCACCTGGGAGGCCATGCTGTTGGTGCGTATGGGCCCCGTGGGTAGCGTGTCTGAGAGCCTGTTGGGCGCGAGATGTAGCCATGGATTAGGGCCTTGCGGGCGCCCATTCCCACCTCTTGCGGTGGCATCGAACGGTGTCCGCCGGTGGCGGGAATCTTTGGTCTCGAGGCGGGACAAGTGCCACCTAATTCGCCCTTGCGGGCGCTCATTCCTGCAGCCCACATTGTCTTGGAACGGCCCCTGCCGGTGGCGCGAGTGGGCCCCCATACAGAGGTGGGCCGTCCCGGAACGGGGACGGGGATGGGAACGGGGACGGACCAGAGTCCGTCCCCGTCCTTGGGCCTGTAGGCCCAGGAACGGCCAAGGACGGATCCGTCCCTGGGCTGGAACGGACTGGGACGGATTTGGGAAGGTGTTCAACCGTCCCAATTCCGTTCCAGGGCAGTATTGCCCACCTAGGAGTCCGTTCCTGTACTGCCCCAGGCCTGTCCAACGTCCATTCCAAACCGGTCCAGAGTCCGTTCGAGGCTGTTCCGAAGGCCGTCCCAGGCCGTCCTGGAACCCGTTCTGGAAGCCGTTCCACAATACATAACAACATCAAATTCATGCGTGAACCAATAATAATGCAGCGATGAGATTTGACGCGTGGGCCATAAACGTGTTGCCCCTGCCCCCCTGCAGCACAGTTTGCGCCTGCTGCGATGGGTGGCAAAACCAAGTAGACGCAGCGGCGGCGGCATCTAAAGGCTGGGGAGTCACGGCCCCCGGCCCGACGTCACCAAGGCGGCCCCCCACAGCCTGCGGCAGGGGATGCCCGGGGCTAGACAGAGGGGCGCCCAGAAAGGCGGTCCCCCACCCCCCAAGGTGAGGGATCCGGGCATGCGGGGATGGCAGTGGCAGCGGCAGGGGGGGAAGGCCAGGGGGCGTTTGTTGGCGGCAGCGCCCCACTCCCGGACCTGTTTGACTTTGTGCATTTAGGGGCGGGGGAGCTAGGGGACCCGGATCTGGAACCCAGCAAGGAGGGGGCTCTGAACCTACAACAGCTCCCAGCTGTTGGGGCATCTGAAGGGCTGTTGCCAGCCGGGGATCCCAAGGGCGCGTCAGTGAGTGGCAGGGTGGGGGCTGCATCTACGCCAGTGGCGACACCTGGGGGCCCGTTGACGGCATCGGGGGGCCGCCTCTGGAAGCGGGGTGAAGCGCGCGGCCGGCAGCGAGGGCGGGAATGCACCCTCAGGGGCAAAGCGGGCCCGAACGGAGGGAGGGGGTGGGGGTCGCCTCTGGCAGCAATAGGTGTGTGGCCCCACCGTTGGGGCCTGGGCAGAGCGGCAGCCGGTGGGTGAAGCCATTGTATGTGGAAGAGGAGGGGCGGCCTGGCATCCTTGCAAGATACGACAGTGTTACGGGGAAGGAAGACGGCCACAACAAGATCATTTGTTGCATATGCAGCAAAGGGATTTCCTTCAAGTCGTCATCCTTCTCGACTGCAGAAAAGCATATGGGGCACCATGGCGTGGTTTTCGGTTCGATGCGGGCGATGGCGCCCGCCGAGACGCCCAATGAGGCCGCGGGGCCTCCTCCGCCGGATTGCCGGCGGGCTTTCCGGGGCGCTCGTGTCTTCGGGTACGCAGCGTGGGCCCAGGCCACAGGGATGGCCGGGCGCGGGGCGGCTGTGCGCGCGGTGGGTGCGCGGCGCCGTGCGGCTCGCGGGTGCAGCCGCTGGGAGGCGCGAGACAGGGGAAACAACGGTTACAGTACTGCGTCTGGT